TATAAATATAAATATAAATATAAATATAAATATAAAGTTTTCTTTTTGCTGTTGCAGAGGTTGACCTGGAATCGGCACCGCCACTAAGGCCCCGTCCAAGCCCTTAGCTGAAGCACCATTACATAAAATATCGATGTATTAAATACACTGCTGTGGCAGCCGGGGACTTTGTTTCAGGCAGAAAGCGCCGATCCAACCGCTGCATTTACAGAGGCCCGGGATGAAATCCCGGGATCCGGGGCGTCCGGCCCCCTCGTCCCTCGTCTCCTGCTGCTCGCAGCGGGATCTGCCCCCGGGTGCCGCTCCGCACGGAGCGCAGGGTTGCTATAGAGACTGCTCAAAAAGAGGGAAAAGGGAAGCAAGCAGAACTGCGGAGAAGCCCTGAGGCTAAAGGAGGGATAAATGACCAATCCTTAAAATTAAACTTAAGCACTGTTTCCCCAGAGTCCTGCTGGAATTGCTGCTGAGGGAGGGTGTCCTCCCGTATTAAAATCCTGCCCCTATTCTATTAATTCTTCCCCATTAGCAACTATTTTGCAGGGAAAAACAGGAGGGAAAAAAAACGAATCTATAATATTAATTTTGTGCTTACTCAAGCAGGATTTTTTTTTTTTTTTCTCCAGGATCTATCAGAGGGAGACAGAATTGCTCTCATCTAACAGAAAGTGATATAAATCATGGGGAGATTAAATGAGGTACCTGAGGCCAGGAAGGGTCATTGCTTTCTGAAACCCGAACTCCATCACTGCACATTACTGCTCCAGATCAAGATTTATATACACGGGGCTCCTACAGACAGGGAAAAGGTGGCTGCACACATGGATACCTGCACTTGGGTACACCGGGTAGGGAATATTTATTTATACAGCAAGGCAGTGTGAAGAGGAAACAAAACCAGGAGTGATGGAAGGCAGCGCTGAACACTTGAGCAACCACAGAAGCAGCTGCCAGAAGCAGCATTTACGGGACAGGACCTGATTTTTAGCAGCTGAGGAACTTGGGAAGAGCTGGCACTTGGGCATCCGATATTCCGCATTAATGGTCAGGGCTTGTTCGGTCTCCCAAAATACAGGAGCTTCAATGAGGGAGCAGTTTGCAAGCTATGAAATGGGCAAATTATCCAAAATCCCACATCCTCGTAGCTACAAGGATAACCTGGCGCTGATTTAACGAGCACGTTCCTGCCAAGCGACACTATTCATGAGCATATTCCAACAGGAGAATATGCAAGCAAGGAGAAGCGCCACTGTGATGCCTCTCGCAGATAATCAAGCAAAGCAGCCAAAGGGGCAGCTGAATTTCAACCAAATTAAGGAATCTCATCTGAAAAAAATATTTAGATAAAGTTCCTGGTAAATGGTGCAATTTATTGTCATTTCTCTGATGATCTAATTGCGAAAGCAGCTTAGCAGTGCTGCACTGCTCCTGCTGAAATGTGCTGAGAAAAAATACAGAAAAGCATAGATTTTGCTTCTCTGGGTGTGAAAGGAACGAGCAGAAAGTCAGAGAGGAAGGAGGGAAGGATGGAAGGACAGGAGAAAAGGCAGGAAATCACAGAGCCCATTTCAATTCCAAGAACAAATCCCACTTTAGGTGCATTTTAAGTAGATGCCTTCAGGTGCCTCTTGTAATTTATGGGCAGCTGCAGCTCCAGAAGCATTGCTGACTGCCATTCCTCTAATGAAGTTAGCTAAAGGTATTTAAAATGTCATTTCTTAGACTAAAAACCGAATAAAAGCCATAATTTCTATTACAGGTATTTACATATTTGAGATGACGCGACTACACGATGGGAATTTGGAAAGTAATTACTTCCCATACATTTATATTCCAGCCCAAACAGCTCGAACCTGCTGCTTTCCTTTCTCTACGGAGAATTACTCGGGAGCTTTTGCATTCTCTCCCAGGGGTGAAATACAATAGGAATCTGCCCGGCACATCAATTTTCCTTGCTTTTGTACTGTTTACAACTCCCCTGTAGTATTTATCAAGAAATACACAACTCCCCATGGGCAACGCCGCGGCAGGAGCCCTTGCTGGTGATGGAGCTATTGATCACGCCAACATTAAAATTATGTCTCCTGTAGCAAACGCCAATAAGGGAGAGGTGCATTAATCAGGAAATCAATAGGCTTGTCAATAGAAAGGCTCACTCGGCCAACGGAATGCAGCGGGCAGAGCTGCTGGGTGCTGGGCCGAGCACGAGCATCCCAAGGAGCGACCTTTCCGCTCCGCTCCGCGGGGAGAAGGGCCATGAGCAAAACAAGAGGGGGAGAAAGGCCAGAAGTTCCGTGGGAACAAACTTGGGGTTATTGGAGCAATGAGCTTTAGGAGCTCAATTAAAGAAAATAAGAAACAGGGCAAATGCACAAAAGCAAAAGCCGCAGGTGCCTCTGTGGTCTGAGATGCCAGGGACGAGTCAGTCCTTCCGATTGCTAAAGGACGTGAAGTTACCAGCTAACTGCTGGAAAAGTGGCATGGGAACAGCAGAACTGTGCATGAGATAGCAGGGAAAGTTCTTTCTCAGAGTGTTGTTTAAATATTTCACAGAATTTTCGATGAAAAAATAGCCTCCCTTGAGCAATAGCAAACCCAGATGCTAAACGGTGACTTATCAGGGCCAAATCTCCAACTCAGAAAAACCTTGCAATACATTTTCCCATTTGAGTTAGTGACCCTGCAAATTTCATTTCTTAAGGTTAGTGTTCAAAACATTTTTGATTCAAATTATTATTTTTCAGATTTTCAGGATATTAGCTTCAGAAAATATTCATGAAAATATTTTGAAACCTCGCAACTCTGACATGGGAAAAACATTTCCACATCCAATTATACTAGATGGTTATTAATTCAGAGCTGTACAGGAATACAGGAGTTTCTTCTTTTAAACAACTGCTCTTCCTATCTCCTGGACCTGGTTTATATATAAACCTTATAATGATTTTCACGAAAGGAGCACAGTCATAAAAGATTTCTGACATTTGGCAACTCTCATTTCACTTGTTCCTCCGGACTGGCAGGCTATAAACCTGGGTACTTTTCAAATATGAGCTGCTATCCCCTATGTCAAAAATGAAAATGTCATTTTTGGAGCCAAGCAGATTATTTTCAATCATATGAAATCTACTCCAAATCCAGCGAAGACAAAGACGCTTCTGCACGTCGCTGTCTTGAGTATTCTCGACTAAATTTAAAACTACTCCGGAGTGATTAACTTCTGATTAACTATGAAGTTCTCTGGGAAACAAAATAACCCGATCTGAATAATTAGTGTAAATGCCATCTGAATCAGAGCTTTCCACTTTTAAATTCATATATTTTAAACATTCCATACTGGCACAAAAATCAATTTTAAGCCCCATAAAGGTGCAGTAAAAAATTGTTGTAGACTGGCCAGTGGAGTCATGACACCTTTAAACTGTATTATTAAAAATTATAATGATTGATTAAAGACCGAAAGGAAAAGATAGGAATTGAAGAGGTAGTGTTTGGTTATGTATGATTTTGTCCATCCAGTTTCCGATCAATCTCTAGGTTCGTGCCAGTGGATTTATTTTTTTGAGGAGGGTTGGAGAGGGAAGACACCTGCTTCTTGATGTACTATAGAGCATTAACTATGGGATATATGAAAACATTAAGTCTGATGAACATCAGGAAAGCTATGGGCAGTACAGAGCCTGTCAGACGTATCTGCAAAGAAAGGGAAATTAAAGGAGAAAGTTTTTGCCTACTCAAGATGGAAAAGAAATCAGACATCAGGACTTGTTTCTCAGAAAAAAAATGAATAAATAAATAAATAAATAAATAAAGCTTTGGGTCAATTTTAGCATTTCTTTTACGGGCACTTTGAACTAAACACTGATCCGATACAATATAAAGTATATAGGAATACTTTATAATGAGCTTCATATCCTTCACATTGTTGATGACTGATGTACAGCAACAACATTTAGACTGTGTAGAGTCTGCACATCTGCCAGGCGGCCTGGAACGGCAACAAAACCCATCTCGAAAGTGATGTTCCCCTAAACTAAGTTACTTTATCTCCATTAAAGACACTGATTTTTTCCCTCACAACTCTCATTTTATCTTTTTTCTCTCCTCTGATCCTTTTCGCTATTACTGCCTCGGTGCTGAACGTTAACAAAGCCGTAACTGAGGCGCGCTCAGGCAGCTATTTTGGGAGACAATTTTGTCTGGTTATTTATGAGCTTATAAACCCATCCGCGAGCACCAGAACTGCACTGAGCAGGAGTTACGAGTCCCCCTGCACTTTTGTGGGGAAATCTGCAGGGGATGCAACCAAACCTTGCCAAATAACAACGCCAAAGTCAAATGGACTCCTGTCCTCACCAGAGCTCACAAGCTCCCCCGCTTTTATTTTTAGTCACCTGCCTTCTCTTCCACTCATGCCTCTCACAGGATAATTTTGGCCGAAGATATTTGTGGAGCAGCAGTCATCGTGCTAGCTAGGTGCTATACATTTATTTTTATACTGATCGTTTCCCCCTCACACACACTAACCCAGTTATAGTGCAAAATTAACACAAACAAAAATAACCCTGGTTTTGGAAACCAAGTTAGTGAGAACTCCTTTGGAGAACACAGCTCTTCAACCCTTTTTTCCTCCTAGCAGGTGATTACCCATTGGCACAACAGAGAAGTTTGGGAGACTCTTGCCCATGTCTCACGGGCCTCATGCCTGAGAAAAATAGTTGGGGAAGTGTGGGATGTATAGTGCTAAAATTGCTTTGTGATCTACAAATACAACTGTGATTTGGGTTATCTACGATTTACCTGAGATTCCCTCCTTGAGCATTTGCTCAGAACAGAAGAGGACGTAGCAGGGTGATGATTTTCCATCTTCAATTTTGCATATAAGAGAACTGAAGGGAAAAGAGGATATTTTTGTGACCTGAAGCAAGCGTCTCCCAGACCAGATCTCCCCCCTCCAGCATTAGCATAGCAAGTGCTGGCCCCGTCACGCATGAGAATTAAGGTTGGTATAAACCCGTCCTGGCACATGCAGAGCACCAAATTGCTCAGGATATTACTGATAGAGTAATATCAGTAATGTCAGGCTAGAGCCACCTGAATGAGGTTTCTCAGTTATTTCAGGACACGGGCCCATCAGCATTGGCTTAAAAGCACCTATGTTTGAAACCTAGTTAGGTTTTTTTAGCAAACTAGGTAAAATAAAGAGGAGCTCTGCAACTCTTTTGCTATGCTCCATGTAACATTCCCCCAAAAAGGGGGAAAAAAATGTCATTTTCTTATAGAAAAATAGATACCAGAGTGGGGTGAGATGGTTGATCCACTGCTTTACACTATTAGAGGCTCGATAGGGAAACAATGTCTATTTGAGAAAACACTTGGCATTCATAATACATAAAACACATTATTTAAACAAAAATCACATCACTGGAGAGAGCTGTTTAATTTAGAGTTGAATCGTCTGAAGTTTCCCAGTTCCAAGCCCAAACTTTTCCAAAAACGCCTTGAGGTCAAAACACTACAGATGAGAAGGGAGCCGCACAGCTCCCAGCTCCTCGCAATCCGGCCGCTCTTCTGGAGGCCGAGGGAGGTTTCTGCACGAGTCTTACGGTTCTGGGGGCTGCCCTGAGTCTTCACATCCCCCCCAAATATCCCTGGTGGGGAACAACAGAAATTGCCAGCGAGGAATTAAAACCTAACGCCGCGATGTGCTTTAAGAGCATCGGCAGCTCCCGGCCCGCGCGGCAGCTCCCGCGCCTGCAAAATAATCAATTTCATCTGGGGAAAATAAGCACTCTGGGGCTGATTGGAGACCAAAGCAGCTATCTGCAAACAACTGCCTTAATTTATACCGAATTTTGCCTCATCGCTATTCTGCGCTGCCTCTGTAGCCTGAGAGCAAAGAGAAAACAAGAAAGGTGGGGGAGAGAAGATAAAAAGAGATCAGAAGAAAGGGAAGGAGCATTGCTGCTTTGCAGCACGGACAGGCTTTTCCCCAGCCATCTCTTCAAAACCACTGAGTTTGTTTTGCAGGAGAGGTAGCTGAAATAAAGCTGCAGAAATGTGATGGTGCAAAGCAGGGGGCATAGGGGTGCCTGTGAGCTTGAAAACCCTCTCTCGTCACCACTCACTTTTCTACCTTGCACACAGTCACCCAGGCAGCAAGGAAAATGTAAGTTTGCAAGGAAAAAATCTAAGTTTCTGTCCAAATGTCCTTCCCTTAAAACCCAGGAAAAATAAATGCTGCTGTTCCTGCATGCTGCTCCTGCGGCACCATCTGCATGGCTAACAGCAGCAGCATTTCAGTTTGCATCGAACTTCTTGTAAGATCAGCTTCAAGGTAATGCAACATTCAGATTGGAAATTCCCTAAAAAGAAATAAAACTAAAAATAAGGATGTATCACTGAGCATCCAGGTGCTTATTCCAAGGGGATAGGAAGGGGAAAGGTAAACTCGTGAGACAGGTGAAGCTGTTTGTCCAAATCAGCAAAGTAACAAATCCACATTTAAAGGAAGACTGCAAACAATTACATAATACGCTTCACAAAAAATAATATGCCCAAACAATGCAATTTAAATAGAAACGTAAATTTTCTTATTTGTATCAGCTGAAAGTGGAAATAAATCAACCAACTGACCAAGGGGGTATTTCTAGAGAGTACATACACTGAAAGCTGTTATGAAGCAACACTGCCTGGCCCAGCATACTGTGGGACACCCAGTCTATCACAGACGCTTTAATATCAAGCGATATCCTCCGCTTAGGAACCCTATGAGCTTTTCCTTACAGCAGATCTGCAGTGACTCAGGGATTCTGTTCAGCCCTGCAATATTCACATGCAAATATTGTCCTTAAAAAAACCCCAAAAGGCTCAAACACATTTTCCTTTCGCATTTCACTTTCCCATCATATTATTTTGACAGCTTAGTACTTGAAAAAGGTGAGCTTACACTCTAATTTAACAGGAAAAGGGGAAAAAAAGTCCATATATGTTGTTTGCTGGACTTTTCTACAATACAGGCTTGTGGAAAAGCTACTTGCAGCTTTGGTTATGAAGGGCAGCCCTGCTTTTTGGAGCAGCTGTTGGCGATCCAGCTATCAAATGTGCAACGCTGCCACGGCCTCTCGTTGGCTTCATGTTATCCCCACCAATAATTTTATAGCTACATTTAAAAGGGCAATTACCCCACAGCTGCTGATTGGTACTAAGCTAACGGGATCCTTGAGCAGCTCAGCTGCTTCCATTTGAGTTATTAATGGCACTGGCCATCACGGTTATGCTGCCACTTGCTTTAGCACAGCCTCACATGCAATGTCCCCTTCTTTTTTTTTTTTTGTTTTTGTTTTCTTTAAAGATACATCATTTAAATGGAATTCTTTCAGGGCTGTTTTCCCTGAGGACATGGGGAATCACAGGAAGAGCCCCTCTTGCCCAGGTGGACTTGCCTTTCCTCCCCAGCAAGGCTTGTCCCCAAGGTTCCCACTGGGAGCAGGGTGGCAGTGACAGGACACAACCAGGACCCACTCAGGGTGCTGCTCGTTTTAAGACCTCAGTAATTGTTAAGTTATAGACACACAGAGCACTGCACAAAAGTCAATGTTTCTGTCAAGCTGCATCATCCCCCAGCAAAACAAACAAAACTACAAAACCTTTAACAGCGGGGAGAGGAGGTTGGATGGATCGTGAAGCTGCTTCCAGAGGAAAGGGAATGCCTCAAGGAAGACCGCTCCTTAAAACAGGAGCTCTTGGGTTTACCTTTAGTTTACAGTTTATAGAAATACATTAAATAAATATGCTGTTTGCAATGAGTTTCCTGCAGTTTGCTGCTCTGGTTACTTTCAGTACTTTGGGTTTTTCATCTACTCTGTAGTTCTAAGAACTAGGGATATTTCAACACTATCAAAGCAGTGATCTCTCTGCTTTTATATTAACTTATGTAGCACTTAATGAAATTAGGGAGCTCTGCACCTTCGATTAAATATTGGTGGTACAACTAATTAAATATATTCCAACCTATTAACAAGCGACTCAATTAAATTTTTTAGTTCAGTTTTTGGTATTGTTCCAACCTGTTGCCTAATCAAGCCCGTAGGTACCGCGCTAATTTGCTCAAGCAAATAACCTTGCACACCCCTCTCATTTAACTAAATATATTAAGATAACAGGGACAACTTAATCTGCAAGAATGAAAACAGACACGTCAAGCTCTGCGGTTGCAGCAAGATCCCTATAATCTTGTGACTTGGCCTCCTAATGGCTAGGTGTATTTAAAATCTCCAGAGTGGCCAAGTTAATTCCACTGCATAATAGTCACTGTTGTAAATCTGACTTTTATTGCATGCTAATTCTCGGCACCAATTAGCACACTTTATGGCTCCATTTGGAAGGGCTCCAAGTTTATAACCATATCACTACACTTCATAATTACTTTATTTAAACAGCCTGACTTAGACCCTTGCTATTATAAGGTGGTCTGCTATCAAGTGCTGGGAATATTGCATCTATTAAACAGATGTCAACGCTACCCCCTCTGAATTAGCTGCTCTTGGGTACCGTTTGCTGAGCTCCCCCTTGGCACGGGCACATTTGGTGCCACTCAAATGGGACAAGAGGAGCACGGAGGCCACGGGAAGGAAAATAATCCGACGTCGCAGTTGGGTTTAGAAGCAGAATAGCTACAAGAGGCCCAAGACAATGGCCTGGTGGCAAGGAAAGAGCAGCTCATTTGGAGACTTCTGACATCTCTGTAGCCCCTTTTTCCACTACAGACCCAATTTGTTCCAGTTCTGCTAAGCGGAAGCCCAGTGGACCGGGACATCCCGCTTCGAGACCGCCCCATTCACCAAAAACCCCTCAAATCCCCCCAAAAGCCTCTGAAGGCCGGCACAGCTCAGGTCCCAGTGGGAGCCACGCTGGCTGAGGAGGGCTTGGCCTCTTCAGCAAATAACCAACCTTTTGATGCAGACCTGCCTCACCTTCATGGGCTTTTGGCTTTGTCAGCCCCGAGCGCTCCCCACGGCCACGTTTGGGACTGGTTTGGGATCAGTGGGAAATGAAGTCCTAAGTTTGCCCTTTGGAGAAGAGGCTCAACAACTTTGCTCAGCTCCGTTCACATGGAAGAAGATTTGACAAATTGAATGGAGAATTTTAAAGGAAATATTTCTATTGTCCTGTTTTTTTCTTCTTTCTTTCCCCTTCAGCCAGACTGATGCCTGCCCTGCTGCTACAGTGGCCAAAAAAACAGCCGCTTGTGAGCCAGAGATGGCGTAGACAGAAGCCACATTTACTATAAGACATTTTATTTATAAAAGGGACTGGGTGCGGTGGCTTGATCTGCCAGTCAAGGCAGAATTAATGCCGTAGGTGTTATTTTCTGCTGGCTGTCAGAGAGACCTGCACGTATTTTCTGCTTTCACTGAGGGCAAGTTACTTGCAGAAACTCAGGACAAAATAGAAAATTAATATATCTACCATCTCCACAGAATACCTGCTTAAGAAAACACGGCTTTAGCTTTGTGGCTCCATCTTTTCCTGCTGTAACATCAGTGGCATGGCAATAAAAAGCTTAGTTAACCTTTGCCACTCTCATTTCCATCACAGCTAAGGAGAAGCAAGTTCAGGGACTCGGCCCCATGCACCAAGTCCCTAAATCCCACGTGGATTTCCAAATGATCTTGGCAGATTTTTATCCTTGCTCTAAAATTCAAGACCACGCAAGTGTTGCCCCGAGTCTCACTTTGAAAGGCCTGCACAGCCCTACTGCATATATTTCATAAAACCAGCACAAAACAGCTAAGCTTTTAAACATGGGGTTCCACAAAAGCCAAAGCTTTATTTTTTCAGCATTATTTTTCATCTATTCTATAGTCTGAAGTCA